ACCCAGGTCAGACTAAAGCTTCACCATCCTCGGTCGTCCAAAGCTTCTGCCTTAGGAAAAGTACAAGGACAGGGCAAACGTATACTCATTTCCCTCCCAGAATACTCTCTCAGGCTATCTGTACTACTGTGATTTCCTGAACTGAGGCAGTGACTCTGTTAGTAGCCTGTAATTTGCTTCCTTGAATTTACCCTTAAGTTGCATCACATTCTCTTAACTTTCCTTGAAGCCACTAAACTTTCCAGCTGCTGAGCTGTGGGTCAAGCCCAGACTGTGGCAGCATTCAGAGCTGCCCCAGGAAAGTCACAGAATCATAGAATCATAGAATAGTTAGGGTTGGAAAGGACCTTAAGATCATCAAGTTCCAACCCTGCCATGGGTAGGGCAATACACACTAGACTATGTCATCCGAGACTCTGTCCAACCTGGCCTTGAACACTGCCAGGGATGGAGCATTCACAGCATCCTTGGGCAACCTGTACCTGTGTCTCACCACCCTCACAGTAAAGCATTTCTTCCTTATATCTGTCTTCACGAAGCCTTCTCTTCTCCAGGCTGAACAGCCCCAACTTTCCTAGCCTGTCTTCATACAGGAGGTGCTCCAGCCCCCTGATCATCCTCGTGGCCCTCCTCTGGACTTCCTCCAACAGCTCCATGTCCTTCTTAATGCTGAGGACACCAGAACTGTACACAGTTGTCCTGGGTTCAGCAGTAGCAGTCATTTTTCTCCTTCTTAGTAGCTGGTGCAGTGCTGTGGTTTTGACTTTCAGCCTGGGAACAGCGCTGATAACACCAATGTTTTTAGTTGTTGCTAAGTCATGTTTACTCTTACCAAGGACTTTGTGAGTCTCATGCTCTGCCAGGGAGGAGGGGAAGCTGGGAGGAAGCAGAGACAGGACACCTGACCCAAACTGACCAAAGAGGTATTCCATACCACAGCACGTCATGCCCAGGATGTAGAACTGGGGGCAGTTACCTGGTAGGGTTAGATCACTGCTCAGGTCAGGCTGATATCGGTCGGTGGGTGCTGAGCGGTTGTATTCTCTTCCCTTGTTATTTCCCTCATCATTATTATTATTGGTGGTAGCAGCGGTGGTTTGTGTTATACCTTAGTTACTGCACTGTTCTTATCTCAAGCCATGGGAGTTACATTCTTTTGATTCTCCTCCTCATCCTTCCAGGAGTGGGGGGAGGAAGGGAGGAGGAGTGAGAGAGCAGCTGCGTGGCTGGGCTTAAACCATGACAACAGTATTCCAAGTGAGGTCTCACAAGAGCAGAGAAGAGGGGCAGGATCATCTCCTTCAGCCTGCTGGTCACACTCCTTTTGATGCAGCCCAGGATACGGTTGGCTTTCTGGGCTGTGAGCGCTCACTGCAGCCGGCTCATGTTAAGTTTCTCATAGACCAACATCCCAAGTCCTTCACCGCAGGGCTGCTCTGAATCTCTTCTCTGCCCAACCTGTAGCTGTGCCTGGGATTGCTGCAACCCAGCTGTAGGACCTTGCACTTGGCATGGTTAAACTGCATGAGGTTGGCATCAGCCCACCTCACAAGTGTGTCAAGGTCCCTCTGGATGGCATTCCTTCCCTCCAGCGTATCAACCGAACCACACAGCTTGGTGTCATCGGCAAACTTGCTGAGGGTGCACTCAATCCCACTATCCATATCAGCAACAAAGGTGTTGAACAAGACCGGCCCCAACACCGATCCCTGAGGGACACTACTCGTTACTGGTCTCCAGCCAGACATTGAGCCATTGACCACAACTCTTTGTGTGCGGCCATCCAGCCAGTTCTTTATCCACCGAGTGGTCCATCCAGCAAATTGATGTCTCTCCAATTTAGAGACAAGGATGTCATGTGGGACAGTGTCGAACGCTTTGCACAAGTCCAGGTAGATGACATCAACTGCTCTACCCCTGTCCATCAGTTCTGTAGCCCCATCATAGGAGGCCACCCAATCTGCTGCCATCCCTCCTGGCACTGCCCCTGTGAGTCCCTGCTCTCCTCAGCAGAGCTGCCGGCTCCTGGGCAAGACCTGGCGAGGGCTTGAGGCTCCCTTGGTAGCTCTTGCTGCTCAGAACTGAGGCTCCTGCACGCAGGGTCTCCCCTCACTCATGGGGTGAAAGCTCCTCTCTGGAGCCACTCACCTTGGCAAATGACAAGTCCTTTCCAGGTGACACCCTGATGCTGTTGAGGGGCAGTCAGATAAGCCCTGGTGTCCCTCTGGCCAACCTGTAATTTGTCTGAGTGTTTTCTCAGCCTGGCAAGAGCTTTCTCCTGTCTGTAAGAGGAGGTTGTACTGTCACTCTCCACCATTAGACAGAGGCAATTTTTGCTTGTCTGCTGCCTTCCCTCGCTGCTGGGGAGCACATTTGTTTTTCAGGGTCTGCAGCAGCATAACACAGCCACCAAAGATGCTCTCCATGTCTCCATTTCCCTTAGCATTCAAGATATTAAGTCACGGTTGGGCTTGTAATTAACTGTAATAACAACAGCTTGTCTACTTCAGTTGACTTCTTGTCTTTGCTGAGTCAATTCAAATACATTACACTGAGATCATTTTGTGCACAATCTGGTTGAATCTGGTATGTCAGCAAATGTGGCAAGTAGTTTTAAGAGGTTTTGCTAAAGCACAAGTGTAGGGACCAGAGAGTGAGACAAAAAAAAAGTGTTTGCTACTATTTAGTTTGTTTTCTAACCACCACGTATTAAGACTTCACCAGTTGCAAAAGAAAGCAAGACTGCAGTCGAAGAAGTGCTCTAGGTCAGCAGCTCCTTTGATTCGGGAGCTGTTAACTCTCAGAGTTCCTGAGGTGCCACCAGCTACGTTTACCATCAATACAATAAAAGCAATGCAGTGTGGTGTTCAGGGCAGGTTCATATCCTCTGTCTCACAGTCTCATGGCCACCAGTGGTCCCACCACTGCTCTTCCCCAGGCAGGGAACAAACCTGTGCTGGGATTGTCTTCCTTGGCCTCTGCCCAGCTCCTCTGCAAAAGTTTGTGTTGCCAGGCTTTGTTTAACGCAGACCAAAATGCAAAGCCTGAAGCAGTGGGCTGTCATAGTGGGGGTTTGTGCCAATTCCGGTGTAATCCGTGCGTTTCCCTTCCCTGCTGAGCTCCCTGCCTGCAGTCAGCTTGTAATATAATGTCCTGGGGATGTTTTGTTTTGGGAGGTGGAAGAGACATGCAGGGTGTCCCTCAGAAAGCACTATGGGGAGGAAAACGCACACTGCTGAAGACAGAAAGAAAGCAGTGATGATCAGGATAGATAGAGCCTTTCCATTTGACTCCTGCTGTGTCAAGCCTGAATATTTTAACCCTGAAAGTATACCCTCAGTCAGATGAGATTTTTATTTGATAAATATCAGAGCCCTCAGGTGGCTCCTGAACTGGCTGAGCATGTCTGGAGAGTGCAATTATGGTGGCCATGGACAATAGGGTAGATTAGGCACTGCTCCGGTCTGATGTTAGACATTCAGTGTTTGCATGAGTTGTGGGCAGTTGATGCTGGGCTATGGGTAAGACCAGAGAAGTGAGATGCTTGTTAGTCATGCTTACGAAGTTTTACCTAGGCAAAACGTGCTTGCCTTTGAAGCAGAGAAGCCCCCAGCTGCAGACACTTGTCACCAGAGGCACCTATCAAGTGTTACCCTTCCCACTATGTGGATGAGCAATGCCAATTTCTTTCCCAGCAATGTCAGCTCTGATCAGTCTGATCACACTGCATTCTGAAATTGTGAGATTTGAAGAGAAATTTGTAGATTTTATAGTTTGTTGACTTTGTAAAAAAATGTAGGTTTCTTGCAGTAATAAACAAACCTCTACTTGGTGAATGTTTTTTTAAGCTTAGAGGATGCTCTTTGGCCACATCTTTAAGCTTTTCTCTGAAGCTGAGAGGGCTGTAAGTCTGCTCTGTAAAAACAGAGAGTCTTCCATTATCACTGGCCTGAGGGAGCATGAAATTGAAAATGTCAGCCATTGCAAGGCTAATCATAAAAGCATGAGGATTGCTTAGACCCTTATGTCTAACAGTGTATGCAGGCGGGACAGGGTCTGGTATTCTGCCCACGTGCAGGAAAGCAGATGCCTGGATGAACCAACATTTGAAAATGTATTTCTGCAAGTTGTTTTTTTTTATTAATTGACCTTTGTTAGTATGTGACCCTTGCCAGAAGCTGTGAAGAATGCTCTATATTCCCTTGGTACTCTGTGTATGGTTGCATATTTGTTTTCTTTATTAAAAACTGGTCAGAGGAAAATGGACCAGATTCCACTCCATTACTCCTGCTCAACTTCATCAGCTGCATGGAGTTGTGGTGAAATAACAGCTTTTGATGGAGTACATCCAAAAGCTCACTACTAACATGTGTGGTAACAGCTATTATAAAATTGCAGGGAGTAAGCGTTTGGCAATTCTCCTCTAACGTGGCTAACTTGTGCTGGCAGCCTCTTGGTCCAGTTCAGCCACTCTACTTAGGACTGCTGCATATGAAACAGATGGAAGTCTGTTTTGGTATCAGTAGCACTTCTGAGGTGAGGAAGGATTTGCAGAACTACAGAATTTGGGAAAAAATCAGGTTGACAGGAACCTCAGGAGGTCATCTACTCGAAACCCGCTCTGAAAGGAGGAACTGACTGATGGGTGCAAGGTCATGCCTTCATCATGCTTATCTGCGGGATACAGGGTTAAGGTGTCTGTCCTGGCATTCACCTATTAAACATCTGCAATGGAGACCTGAGCCACATCCCTGTACTGTATTGGCAGTCAGCAGAAGCAAACAGGCACGACAAGGTGTTTGTCCTGATTTGGAGAAACTGAGCCAGCTGTGGACAGGTGAATCCCACCCACGTGTACTTCTTGCTGCTTTATTATCAATGATTAAGATGGAAAAAGACAGCATGAGAAAACTTCCTTCATATGAAAAACCTAAAGTAAAAAATCGGTAAAAACCTCCTTTTCTTCCTTTCTTGTCTTCTCTCTTCTGGTTGCTGGGCAGCCCCGGGGCAGATGAGCCACCTGCCGTGCCTGCCCGCCAGCCTGGCCCCAGAGGAGATGCAGTCCCCCCGAATGGCAGGGAGGAAGCGAGGGCGGCCTCCACTCCAGCCAGCACCCATCAAAGTGGCTGTTCACAACCTCTACTCCGCACCGGCCGCTGCTTTGCCAGTCGTGAAGATCCCAAAGAAGAGAGGGAGGAAGCCGGGGTACAAAGTAGGTACACGATTTTCACACTCCTTCTCCACCTCCTGCTGGTGTTAACACATTTTCTGTTAGAGTTTCAGGTGAAATGCAGGCACGGAGGGAAAGTTGTGTAAGCGCTGGAAAGAGTAATGCAAAAAAAAAAAAAAGTAAAAGTAGCTGGTTTCTCTTCTCCCTGAGCTGGTAAAAAAGAGGGAATCTTTTTTTGTAAAGTGTATCGTTGTTTTAATTTGTGCTATTTGAAAATACCCTGTTCCCCAGTGTTGTGTGAGATGGCTGCACACCTTCTGCGAAGTGTTTCTGATTTATCACTTTTTCCCTTCTCTGTCGCTAACAGTGATTAGAAATGAAACAAAATGAAAGGAAAAAGGAAAGGAATATGTGAGAGCGGGACTAAAAGAGAAAATAAAGCTAATGTCAGAAAAAAAATGGACACTTTAGAAAGTAGGGAGATTTCACTTACTGAGGGAAGGGCAGTTTTGATTATTTGTCTCCTCATTCTGGGGGAAGATCGTGCCCATCTCTCAATGTGACCCCAAGTGGAGGATATGCTGTCTGTTACACAAGGAGGGCAAATCACAGACTGTTAGAAAATAATAGCAGCTTAAGTTCTCGATGTCAAAACAGCGGAGAGAGTAACATGAGTGATGCATACGCAGGGCCTGTCTCAGCCTTCCCTGGAGAAGGTCTTGGCTCTGCTTGTTGTCCAGCTCTTCACTGGGTCTCTTTCTGTTCATGGCCAAGCTCTGGGCCCAGGGACCAAATGTCTCAGCTCCTTAGGTTTGGGCTTATCTAGGGCAGGGTACCGTAATTGTCGCCCTTCCCTCCTTTTCACCTCCTACCCGACCTTCTTCTTCCTCCTATCCTCCAGCTTCTATTCTCCGTCCTCCCTTTCACTTTTCCAGGCAACCCCTCTGCATCCCATTTCCATCATTTCCATCCTGCGTCCCCCTGTGCAACACCTACTGCAGTACACATCAGTACCTCAGCCCTTAATGCTTTCTCCTCATCTTTTGCATTCTGCTGCATCTCTCCCTGCTTTCCTTCTTCATCAGACAACCCCTCTCTTCTATGGGGGCACATTTTGAAGTGTGTTTCAGTGTGTGCTGAAAACAGACCTTGCATAGCTAAGAAACAGTCCCAGCTGCAGTTTCCCATTTCTTCTGAAAAGCCTTAACTTTGGTAACACAAACGATAAAACAGCAGTGGCCAAGCAGGGCCAACCTGTCAGTAGGCTCAGGTGTCCCTCTTGAGATTACCACTGTTTTATAGCTGTATCCCGTAATAGAGCTGCATGTCCAAACTAAGACTGGGGCAAATATTCTAGTGCTAAATGTGAGATATGAAAATACTTATTATTTTTCACTTTAGTATTAGGTTGTAACTCTGGGACAGAAACATGTGAATTGTTTTACTTGAGGTATTGTTTTTTATAAGTTTATTTTTTTTTTGTACTTTATTTATTACAAGTAATAATTTATATTATCAGGAAAGCTGGGTCACTTGTAAGCTCTTTAGATCAAAACCATGTAAGTCTGGGATAATAATACTTTGGAGATGTGGTGAAATTGAGTCCTTGAGATGATTAAATGATTTGCCAAACACCACAATGACCTTGTATGCAAAGTTTTAGCAGACCCATCCATTCTGCCCCTGCTTGTCTTGCAGACCCCATTTCTTACTCCTGCATTTACATTTGATTTGATTTTTTTTTGAAAAAAAAACAACCCACCACCACCAGAAAACAAAAAACCTGCTGCGGAGTATGTCCTATTCCACCCCAAATGCACCTGTGAAAAAGCTTTTCACCAATCACCATGGATTTGTAAATGGAAGAAGCGAAAAGGGAGACATAAATTGCCTAAAATGTTGCAGCAACATTGAGCTTTAGACATAGCTAGCAACTTTATTACTGTTTCTCTTTTTCTTCTGAAGGGAAGCTTTTCCCCGAGCTGGGTATCACAAGCCTCCTCTCCATCTATAGGGACTTAGATGGGAAGGTGACAGCATCCCTCATTAGGCAGTGAAACTGGGATGATTGATGGTGAGTGAAAAGGCATCCTTTTATACCTGATGGCTTAAATTTCTGGAGCTGACACTCGTGAGCTGTAGCATCAGTGGTATCTGGCCTGGTGCTGTTTATTTGCACTATAGGATTTGTATACTGAGGCGATGTTTTCTGCGATGTGCCTTTGTATACTGTGTGCTCAGCTGAAGTGAGCCCTTCTCCAACAAAACGTCTTCCCCAGAGCAAGTCAAAGATTACATTTTTTTTTGACAGGGAACTCTAGCTTGATTTAATTAGCTTGCTAATTGTATGACTTTCAGATACCATGAGACTTAAATGCATTTTAAAAAATGACTCCCTGCCCAAATGGCAGACAACCAAATTCTTTATAGCAACCAGATAGCTGAATTATTATACAGCAGATGGAAAAATACTTCTGAATTTTTAGCAAACTAGGATTTTACAGCCTAGATTTAAATATATTTTGACCGAGATGTGAATAACAGACATTTTTAATGACATGCTCTTTATAGCCAGATGACCCATTGCCTGTTTTCATTGATATTAAAGCAAATATCTGTGTCTTCCTAAAATGACATTTCATCACGCTTCACCATCAAGTAAAGTCCTTTCCTCGCTATCCTGTTTATCACAGCTTTGGTTATAAAAGTTCATCAGCTGTTTTCCCCAAAACTGTTTTGTATCTGATGCAGAGCTATTTGCCATAAAATGCTACATTTCCCCCTAAATACAATATTCTTTCTCACTGTTTGAATCTCTAGGAAAAGTTCTATTCTGGTAGGTTAGTAGATATAGCCAGGTTTTATTTCCTTGGCTGTAAGTGAAGGGCAGCCTCAAAGGGCTGCCTAGAAAAGTGTGTATGAGGGAAGGCTTAGTTAGCCTCACAGGGGTATTTGTGTTAGAGGACATCAGAGTGACAGGCACATGGGCCAGCGCTGCAACAAAGACCACTCAGAGGGCATCAAAGAGATGGCCCCACCCGAGCAGGCCAAAGGCAATTTGTGCCTGTGCTGCTCCTACCAAAGCAGCTTCTGCCTGGGGAGGTGGCTCCAGCCCAAGCCTGGGATGAGCAGTCAGCCAGGACCTTGCAGGCTCTTGCCAGGCAAGGCTGGGCAGCGAGAGTCACCCTGTGCAGGACAGTGTGTGAAGTGACAATCTCCATTGCAGGGCATAGGTTTCCTTGCTGCCTTAGGAGTCACTATTAATGATGGCAAATAAGCAGTCAGGATTCAGACACACTGGGACTGAGATTGCACAGACAACTTTAAAATGCCTTGATTATTCATCTGCCCTGTGATACAGCCTTGGATTTCAAGGTTGCACAAGCTTCTTTTAAGGTTACCTGCCTCATTCACTGCAAAACACTTAGAGGATGTAGGAGGCTACACGCAGACTCCCCTGCATCATTTGCTGTGTGGAAGAAAGATACTGCATGACACAAGGAGAAAAGGTGGCAAAGACCTTGGACTGTGTTTTGCCTTTGCCAGCACAGCGCTGACCCCTCTCTGCCCCAGGGACTGAGCTGAGCCCTGACTTTCCTCACACTGAACCTCCTTACCCCCAGCCAAATGCACAGAGAGCGGGAGGTACAGCCAAGGACCTCAGAACATGTACTTGAAGCTCTGTGCTTTCCTGGTGTAGGTTTAATGGCACCTTTCTGCCCATCCATCGGAAGCCCATGGGGCAGGACCCAGCTGGCCCAGGCTTGGTGCACATCTGCAGGGGATGAAGGTGTTTTTCTCTTCCTGGCTGGAAGGACCCATGGGGACGGGGTGAAACCCAGCCTTTTCTAGGAAATGTTTTGCTAGGACAAGGGACAACCAGTATGTAAGCAGTTTAAGAAAAGTACAGGGAAAGTTTGCGTCATGGTTTGCCTTGTTTCTTTCCTGTGTATTTTATCATACAATCTGGCAGAGAACTTGTTCAGAAGGGAAAAAAAAAGCTATCATCTGGGAAATGTTCTTCACCCTCTTTCACTTTTTCTGCTGTGGGATGACAGAAATACCAGCTAGATGAATCCTGACTGCTCCAAAAGGGTGTGCAGGCCAGAACAGAAACTCCACAATCCTCCCTGTACGTGGCCACTGCATACTCAGACAAACCTGCAGCTGGCATCAATGGCACAAGAGCCCATGATCTATCTACATGTAATGTACTATGACTTTGGTGAAGCAGACACATTTATTTCCTACCCTAAAGCCCTGACCAGCTTTCTCTCATCTCTTTTCCATAGTAGAAGGTCCATGAGAGTGGGGGGTTTGGTTATACATCTTGTTTTAAAGCAGCCATTGCCTTTTATATCTCATGCTGTGCATACTAAAATTTATGACATTTTATATTCAAAAGCTGATTTGAATGCCTTGCTGTGAGGATTTCCCAAAGTGCTCTGACACATTTTCCCTGTCTCCTTTTCTCTCTCAACTCTCTTCTTCACCACTTTTTTTCACTTTGATGTGTATGTGCTCTCTACTGCCAAGCTCTCAATCAGTCAACCGGTTGGATGGGTTGGCTTTTTGATAGAGAAGAATCAGTCCAAGAAAAGACATCTTTAAAAGAAATACTTTGAGATTTACACTTTGTGATATTCAGGGACTACTCAAGGTTTCAGTGGCCAGGAGGTATTTAAGCCATATTTACTAGTGTACTGTCTCCTGTAATCAGGCACAGTTTCATTTTAATCTAATGAAGGCACATTCTCTGCTACTCCTAATAAAATGGAATTTATCTGTATCCAGAGGCTGTAGGGCACATACTGTTGCAATTAAGTTTGCAGTAAACTGTTTGCTAAAACAGCAAACTGCCAAGAAGGGGCTTCCAAGCTAGAGAGTTTACAAAAGCCTTGACCTCTGTTTCTTTGCTGTAGAACATAAGCCTGCCTGGGCCTCCAAAAGCCAGGGAAGAGGTGAATAAAGAGGTCTACTGGGCACTGTCCCACATCCACTGAGCTGATGGTGCTGGTGGGGCAGCGCATACTCAGAGTGCATGAGGCTCAAGGGCTGGAGAGGGGATTTGTGTGCCTATGTTTGGGGCCAAAGGGCTGTGAGCCAGTAAGGATGTTAAGGAAACAGCATGCAAGTGAAACAGAAGTTATTAGGTGTGCTGTCTCCAAAATAGCATCTATATAGATGTGTGCATGTGTGAATGCATATATATATATTTATGTATATGTACACATAGATATATACACAAGTATACATGTACTTCACCATATAAATGATTATATTTTTATATCTCTGTATATACTACGTACAAACACACGTATGTATATATGCATTTATTATACATGTATATACGTGTATGATCAAACGCAAGCCCAGAAACCTGGCATAGGAGCTACCCAAAGTTTCACAGTGCCAGCCCCACTTCACCACAGAAAAGCAAGTCATCAGCATGTTGCTGCAGAATATAACAAATCATGCTGCTTCTCACCTTTTCACACGGGGTAAACTCCAAATTGGAAGAGGAACCCTGATTTCCGAAACACTGTTTTCTTCCCATTTATTTTAATTGCTTGGAAAACAAGCTGACGGCATTTTGCTACTCATCTTTCCTGATCCCAACCTTAAGGCAAGACAACCCTACAAAAACAGGACAACACAGGCAGGTGAGGACTGATACTAGGCAGGGGCTGGCTCAGGGCCTCTAATACCCTATGCTTCCACACAGCAGGAGGTCAGATCCATAGTTTGCCTTAGATTCACTTACTGAACACTTTCTCCCTTGTTCAGGCTAGATCTAAAGGGATTTAGCCCATGCCAGGGGAAAGCAGGCAGTGGCACTATGTGGAGGTGGTCTCACTTCTGAGACAGGTGGGATACATCCTCTGCCCCAGGCACTGAACAGTGCCCACAAGGGGATCGTGTGAGGATAAAGAGCCAGTTTTCATTTCCATTTGGGCTTATAATGCCTACCGTTCCACAGAGGCTTCTCAGGGGGAAACTCCAGGTTGCATAAAGCAGCAAGTTCAGGAAGGGCTTAGTGAAGTTCAGGCAGGCAAAAAATTATACCCACCCCAACAAAGGCGGCCTCTTTCTTTGTTTTGATGGGTACCATCCCAGCACAAGCTAGCCTGCTACCAAAACCAAGAGAGACCCTGAATTCTCTCTTTGTGAAGCCCTTGCTGGGGTAAGCCAGTAACTGAGGAATGATCCAAACTCCTAAAGATTTAATGATTAAAAACTCACTTGGGAGGCACTAAGTCCAACAACCTTCCCTCTCCTTTCTTTATCTTTCTGTTTTTACCATTGCACTGAAAATGTGGCCATTATTTTAGACAGTTGTAATCATAATCATGGACAATATCAATCTTTATCCAAAATAACTTCTACTCTGTACCAGGACCTGCTCAAGGTCTGGTTTGTAGGTAGTAGTCTGGCTTAATTTCTACCTAAAATGTACTTTGTACATTATTCTCAGTTTGGGTGTATGCTGTGAGAGAAGCAATACTCTACAAATTTAACAGGGCTAAAAATTCTTTTTCATCCTTATGCTTGTCACTTCTAGCATTTTTACCTTTGTCCGCTGAAAAACAACAACAAAAACAAAATCACCTTCGAGAAGAACAGCTCGGTGTAGTATACGTAAATATATAAACCAGCCAGCTCTGTGCTTGGCTTTCTGCTTTCTCCCCACTTCCCTGCAGAGCGAAAGGAAAAGCAAGAGTGGTACCTTCAGGTCACATCTATCATGTTATCCCTTTGTAACTATGAGGACCTGATCATCACTTGACTGTTGAGAGGTTGCCAGGTACCAGCAGTGTAAAGATGTAATGATATTGTACTATAAGTTCCCATTGTGTTTCACTTCCCCAAGTTGGGCTGCAGGTCACAAAGATTACAGGACGCCATAGTGCAGCAGTATGTATTTACTACCTGGTGATAACACACTATGGACCATGGTCCTACCTTATTTACATAGGTGTCGGCCCAAAGTAGCCCTTTGGTTCCACTGGATTTACACAAGATTTGCGCCCCTGTAACCAAGAGCAGAATTTGGCCCTTAATTATGGTGTAGTTCAAGACCCCGTGTTTCTGAGTTGTGGAAACCAGTTTACACCCACATGAAAAGGGTTGTAAAATGCCATTGTGCTGATTTGTTAGAGCGTTAGACCCAGTTTCCTCAGGTGTAAATAACTACCCGGTGGGTGGGATAATATTTGCATCCTGTAACTTAAGGCACTGCTGTCTGCTGCAAACCAGTCAGGCTTCAGGCTCCAGTATCCTCCCGGGAGCAGAACGGATGCTCGTGGCCTGGAGAAAGTGATGCAATAGCAGATTGCTAATGAGTGCGAGTTCATGGGGCATGACATAGATGGAATGAAATTGGAATATTTTGTGTATACTTCCATTACCCAACCGGTTATTTTTTGCAGCTGAAGTCTCGCGTCCTGATGACTCCCTTAGCAATCTCTCCGCCAAGAAGCACACCGGAGCCGGATATTAGTTCAATCCCCCAGGATGCAGCTACGATACCTAACTCGGCCACCCCACAGGCTCTCACAGGTACCCAGCCTTAAGTGCTCCTTGGCCACGGGGTGAGCAGGAACCAAGGGCTAGCAGACAGATGCTGTGCTTTCCAGAATAGCCAGAGCTCATGAAAATGGGGGCTTTGAAGATCAGATCAGTGACAAAGAAAAGGGATGTCATGTAAGACTGTATTTTGACTGCCATGTGTCAAGTTTAGTGGAGATGTCAGACCCATTCCTCTTGAAATGCAGACATCAACATCCCATGAGTGCTACAATTTTATACCCAGAACTCATCCCATCAAACGCGTTGCAATGACCAGACTAAAACCCGGTGTGAACATGAAGCATCTCTTACAGCTCTGGGGAGAAGAAGGACAGAGGAGCCATGGTCTGACTGTAGGCAGGGTTACCAGCACATATAAACCCCAACGTCTTATCACAGCAGCAGACCTGGTCATTTCTGACTGTAGACAGGGAAAACACAGCCTTATTTTTTTGTGTTTTTTTTTTGCTTAGATTAGCAGAAGTAACATAGATCAATGCTTTTAAACTGATGTAGATGAGAAGAAAATCAACAAGACAGTTGATTTACCCTGAGATTTCGCAGATAAATGGATTAGATAACATTAGAATCTAAACACAGCACATAAATCCCATTATTTCTTAGCTGGGATGCACAGAGGAGAAGTTTTCCATCTGCTCTGGTAGCAGAATGATACTAAACATAGTGACGATGATGACAATAATACATTTTATTCTCATTTACCCCTTCACATGCTAAGACTGCTAAACACTTGGCAAATATCAGCTGAGTGGTGTTTCATAGTGCTGCCCTGAGGGGTGTGCCCAGTGCTCTTTCTGAAGGGGAACAAGGAGGCAGAATCCACCAACCCCACCACATTGATGGAGTGGCCACAAAGGCAGAGGTTCTATGCATCCTTTTGGGTTCTGAGGACGCAGCGCCCCACACCTCCATCGGTCTTGTGCCGCTGGCACTTTTTCTCCCAGCACCTTCCCAAAGGTGTGTGTAGGCTCCCAGCAGAGCAGGGGCTGCAGGAAGCAAAGGCAGTCTCAAGCCAACTTTTACCTCCCTATCTGCACAGAAAAGACCATAAGGGTCCCCATTCTTCCACAAGGCTCCCCCCACATTTCCTGCAGGCTGCAGAGTCCCTCCTGCAGCTGAGCCTCAGACAAAACCAGTGGCTTGTCACAGCAGAAGGCATACCCTGCAGATTTGCTGAGGTTTGGCATGGTGGCACGCCAGGAAAGCTGCACTGTGACAGCCTCCTGCAATTCATGCATGCTACTGCTGTCTTTCGGTGCATTTTCCCTTTGCTTGTTTGGCACTTGGAAGGTGTAAAGTGCTATGTAATGATAAGTATGATTGCTATTATCCTCCTGTTCACCCAGGATATACTGCTAAAGCCCCTTCTGCTGTTCAGTGAGAGATGGGGTAGCAGAGTGCACTGTGACAGTCGCAGTAGATTTTCATTATGGTGATACAAACTGTAAATTATTTCCAACTTTACACAGCTGTCATCATGTCCTCCACTCTGCTTGATGGTTTTAGTTCGTCACATATCTGATTTCTGTCAGAGGATAATGTTGTATTGTTTGAGAGATGACAGCTTGAGCACACTCAGCCAGCTATTATAATATGTCTCACTTTAGCCTGACTTTAGGCTATGTCTTAGTCGGCCTTAGTTAGCACAGCATTCTCTCTGCTTCCTCCAAGATGCAGTTAGTCTCAGCCAAGCTTAAAATAAGTTCATGCTAGGAAGAGAACACTGATTGTTTGGCTACTGTTGGCAGGCCTGATGGCATGTAGAGAAACTGCCTTTGCAGGCAGTGGCATATGAGAGGAGCCATGCAGGGCTTGGCTGCAGGGAGGCTGAGGTATCCTTTTGCAGACCCCCCTGTGCAGCACAGTCACATGGCTGTGGTACCAAATGGGGATTTAGCACTGTACGCGATGTACAGTTTCCCTCGAGGTGATGCAGATTGCAGAATGCTGGGTTGGACATGTAGGGTCAGGCGGCTCCCAAAGACCAGGGTCTCTGTCATCACATCATGCAGCCCAGCACAGCATAGCCCTCCAGAAATTACAGCTGCATTAAGGTCAGGAGCAGCAATGAATGAAAGTTTCCCCAAACTCACCTCAGACCAGTGCTTCTCCGAGGCCCTCTCAATGAACCAGTCTAAAAACGCACAGAGAGCACAGACCCAAAGCATGCCTCAGGCTGGAGCTTATCCATTGCTGTAAAGTCAGCCTTGCTAGTCACTGTCCTGCACTCCCTGGGCATTTTTTTCTGGTCATCAGCTGCATGGACAAGGTAGTCTGCAAGAGAGCAGACCCCAGGCATGCACAAGGGCTTCTTTAGTTGCATGTAGCTTATCTTCACCTGTGACACTGAACAAGACCTAAACTCAGCTCACTTCACTTAGGCAATGGTTTATCAGTGCAAGGAAGCCTGGCTGTGCCGTGGCAAATGGTCACAATTCACCAATGAATGGAAGAGCCTGTGAAATAGATAGAAATGTATTTGCTAGGATGGTCTCAGGGCCATTTTGTAATAACCCTGTTGGGATTTTGTGCCTGCAGTCTGCATTTATGTCAACAAACAAGCAAACCTGGGGCCATACCTTGACAGAAAAAAAGTGCAGCAGCTCCCGGAGCACTTTGGGCCAGAGAGACCATCTGCAGCCCTGCAACAGGCTGTGCAGGCCTGCATTGACTGCGCGCTCCAGCAGAAGGCTGTCTTCTCACTCATCAAGCAGGGCTATGGAGGAGAGACGGTGTCAGGTAAAGCATTTTTGTCAGGGGTGCGAGGCCAGTCAGAAAGTGCTCGACATCTTCACCCGATCCCCAGTCCTGACTGTCCTACCTGTCCCATTCACATCAGCTGGGAGGCAGCTTTTAAACATCACTTAGAGCTTTGTAAAATGAGCTGCTGCAGGAATTGCCTCAGTGTCAGATGAAAGTATATTGGTAAAGAGCGTTGCAGCAGTGATTCAGGGGTGAAATAGGGCTAGCTCCAGAATTCTGTGCTTATCACTTTGCAACAGTGCTGAGACCAAGCCTGCGAGCTGAGGTTTTCGTGCAGCCATACATGGATGAGCAGTATTGCAAACCCACTCCATGCCACATGTTGCCACCAAATGTTCTGAAGGAAAACTTGCACAGAGCTCAGCTGCTGGTGTGTCCTCTGCCTTCAGTTCATGAACCAAATCTGCTCTCAGCTGCAGTGATCGCAAATTCCCCATGCAGCAGGAATATGCACATGTATCAGAGAGAATCAAAGATCAGAGGGAACTTCCCAGGGGCATCTCATCTTCCCACAGTGACACTTCTTGCTGTGTCCTGATGAGTCTGCCATGTCCCACACTGAATCCCCTGGCCTGGCTCTCAGACTGAGCATGAATTTTTCTTTTAATCACAGTAAAATATCTGTGTTGCAACATTATTTTAGCACATAGGGATGCAGTGGGAATGAAATGATGGGAATATGGGAACAACGCTCTCCAGTGAGCTGCAGTCGATGAGTCAGGCATGAACACAAAGCCAAGGACTGCAAGTCCAATCAGTTTTGCAGGGACCACAGCAGCTCAGCTGTGCCATTGGGACCCACTTGTGTGGGAGCTCAGGCTCTGGACCTCTATACAGCATATGAATCTTGCTTCCTCCCTTTCCTTTCTAATCACAGGTGCGCCTTCCCTAAGGGGCATCAGAAATACTCTAAGAATGATCCAGATTTGTTCACAGGGACACAAGACTGAAGCAATTCGGTGCAAAGCTTCATTTTTGCCTGGTTCTGTGCTGTGTATATGATTTTCATTACAAGCAGGAGAGTCACCTTTTGCACCAAGCCTGCCAAACCCCTTGGTCTCAATTACTCTGAGCTGGCTCAGCTTCAAGTACCTGAGCTAAAAGCAGCTGGTCAACATTCCTCCCAACTTCACGCCTTTTCTAATCATCAAGGAGGAGTGAATGGCCTCACAGTCATCGTGTGGCTTTGAGATTGCAGCTCAGTCCCAACCCAGCAGCAGCACAGACGGGTCTTCTCATGGGCTTTCTGGTCTTCCCATGGCTTGGCTCACAGATGCTCAGCTGGCAGTGAAGCATGGTCCTTTACAGCAGCTCAGGCCAGCAGGAATTCTCTGAAGTTATCCCAAACATTATACACCTACCATTGCGATTTATACTTATTAGTAGTGACGGGAAGCTATAGGATTGGCAAAAACCCTCCAGGTGGTGGAGTTCAGGCAGCCAGATCATGTAGCCCTGCCTGCAAACCTGTTGACACCTGAATGTGACCTGCTACAATTGATCCTGGTGGGTCTGTTGTGACCCCTCCACCTCTCTGATGTCTGGGAGCTATGCCCTTTTTGATTCCTGGCTAAATATATTCCCTGACAGCTTTGTCCAGGAATTTACTTGCTCTGCTCTCACCCTTGAGTTCAATCTTAGATGTATTTCTAGAGAGCAGTCTTCATCCTGCTAGGCCTGAAATACAGAGTTTCTCTCAGGTTCTCTCTGCATTGTGAGGAAGGTCACTGGATTAGTGAAAGAAGTGCAAGTGCCTTCCCACAGCCCAGTGTAGCACAGATGGTGATGGCTGCAGTGCCACAGGGAAACTTTCTGTTCCCTGAACATCACTGTGGCCTGCCTGTGCACATCTGCAAGTGTGAATTCACCCTTCTCAAGCCTGGATGACCAGTATGGTGCCAGTCAGTCCAGCTAAGGTTTCACTAGGACCTTATATAGCAGAATTGACACTCCCTAGTCTCTCCTGGAAATACCTTATTCAATGCTTTCTTGAAGTATATCTGACTTTCTCATTGCTGTGTCACCTTGGAGGTTCACAGACATCTGGTCAGCCTGTCCCATCATTTTCCTCCCATCAGGTCATGTTGAAGCTCCTTAAAAAGATAATGGATTGCCAAGTATTTTCTGGTATTTTTTTCCACCTTTTTTTTTGTTATTGCAGAGCTCAAGATCAGCCAATCCTTTCTGTACAATCTCCCAGTCCTCACTGATAATGCCTCTAGCTTAGAGCATCAACAAACTCTTTCTGTGCCAGCACAGACTACTGCTGGCTCCTCTCCAGTGCTGGGGGTTACCTGCCAGCAAAGCCTGTTGCTGTCTCCTGACCCACATTCCATATGCAATCCTTTCCAGTTTGATGAACAATTTCTCATACTTTACTGAATTCCACTGCCAACCTCCCCTTGCCTATACATACAATTAAATCCATAAATAAAGATCCATGATGAAGCTGGTAGTCCTTCCTTCAGTACAACCCTGGTACCTTTTATTCATCCACAGCCATGTCTTTATTCATTGTCTCCCCATTATCTTTTAAAACCTTGTGTATTGCTGAAGTCAGCCCAATAGCCCATCATTGGCAGATCGCTTTCCCCTTCCTTAGTCCAAGGTATCATAATTGCCTCCTTCCAATCATACAGTACAGTTTTCAGTTGGATGCATACATTAGAAATCCTTGCGCTGCTGGCCATGCATCTTTCAGTGTCCCAAGGGGAAGGTGATCTCGCTCACACAAACTCAGCTCCTTAAGCTCCTCCAATATTTTTTTGTTCTTCAGGTGGGGTAATTGCATAAAATATTTTAAGGCATACAAATATTTCTCCACTGCTGTCATTCTTTCTCCTGCCATGCATCCCCAGGTATTGAATTGTTCCTGTTTCCTTTCCAGTTTCAGCTTCTTTTGAGGGGAAGCAGCATCTCATGAATGTGTTGGTAGTGAACAGCATCGGGTATGTCCTGCGCTTCCTGAAGAAGCTCTGTCGCAGCCTCTTGTGTGACAATCTCTTCAGCAACCAGCCTTTCCAGCAATACAACACCGTGTCAGAAAGCCCAGAGGCGTATGAGAACAGACGGGTGGAGGCAGGTAGGGTTGATCAGCTTGGGCTCAAGATTGAATAGGGCTGAAGAAATTACTGTCTTTTTGGTCTTGTGTTGTACATGCTAGAGAACTGCAGGTCTCTGTGGGGCCTTTGCAGAGGGAGGCAGTGGGATGCTTTGCAGTATTTTCCCCTGTGGCTATAGAGGAGGCTTGTGGGTGAAAACCACCATGTTGAGGAGTGCCAGCAGTGATAGGGATAATTTTTGAAATTATTTTATATCTCTTTGTTTCTTTTATCTCTTTTCCTAAGAAAACAAGGTTCACATGATCCCATTGTCCTTATTGCCCATAGCTTTTGCCCTCCTCAAGTATACCTGGCCCTAGGGTAGAAGCCTCAAAGGGATTAAGTTGCTTCAAGTTTCAGGCAGGTGGGAAAATAGAGGGGAAATTTCTCCACCCAACTCTATCACCATATTAGATACTAAAGGATCCCCATTGACTATGAAGCCTCCTCTGCTTACAGACCCACCACAGAGCATTGCCTGTCCCTGCTCCCCACACCCCACTACTTGTGCACTCCCTTGGCTCATTGGCTGCAGTGAGAGGTGGGAGGCTGGGTGAGTGCATGGACCCCAGCCCAAACTTTGATGTTACCACAGCACAAATAGGAAATCACAAACATAATGGTTATGCTCTGCCCCAGCACTGTCCCCTATGTGCTTCCCTGCTTGCATGCTGGTCATTTTAAGGATCACCTACAAAGCAGCAAGGTCTGCCTCAGTTGAGGGGACCTCTTTCTGGGAGAGGGGATAGAGCCACTCACAGCAAAGCAGTTTCATTACCTGTAGCGCAATCAGCCTGGATACCAATCTGCTCCTACTACCCTTGAGAGTAAACTAAATGAGAGTCATGACTGCCAAGGGGTTTGCTTTGCTACTTGCAGGAGTGTTTCTCCTAGCTTAAAATGCCTGTGGGCACCATCAAGATCCCTTAGAGCCTGACGATGTGGGCTGAAGCCTGGAGGGGCTGTGGCATGGGGCAGATGCACCCAAGGATGATGGTGGTCCAGAGAAGCACCTTCCCTGAGCAGCACTAGGCTCCCAGGTGGATGGTACACGCGGGCTTCCTTCTTGCCCGCACCCCAGTGTGCTAGGACAGGGTGCTGGCCCTGTGCAGACCCTGTGGATGTGGGACATGCCTGCAGTCTCCATCTGCAATCAGTGGCCAGAGAGCTGCCCTGGGGCTCTACTACAGACCTGGCAAAAGTTAGTTGAGAAAAAAGAAAGATGCAAAGTTATGGCCCAGAACCTTCACTGCACCTGCAGGCTTCCTCCTGATTTAAATTATTTTTCCTTCTCTTTTATTAACAACGCTGTGGGTGTTCGGGGAGCACACTTCTATCATGCATTCAGTTTAATGGCAGATACATGCTGGCAGCTGAGAGAAAGGTGGTTTAGTGTCCACAATAATCACCCATGAATCAACTGTTTGCCAGGAAGACCCTGAGAGTGTGCTTTACACACTAAAGCTGGGAGTAGGCTGTGCACACAGTGCAGAAATAGCCTTTTTATGCAAAGACATCCAGCTGCCACTTTTACATATAGGGCAAGAAAGGCAGGAACACAGACTGAAAAGCAATACTTTTTTTACTCTGGACTAGGGTATTTGCAGCAACCTGAATGTTTCTGAGAGGTCAAAGGATTTCTGTAGCACTGAGTGAGTGCAACCCAGGAGGCCTGGTATTTGTGTTTCCATTTGCATTTTAATTTGCATTTACATTTGCATTTACTTCTGTATGGCAAGGCTGTCTGTGATGGAAGGCAACTCCACAACTGAAGATTGTACAGTGGCTCTTACACTCTGAGAATTTCCTTCCTTACATGATTCCAATGAAGATGTCCCTGACACCAGTCCCACTGGCTCTGCCCAGCCACTGAGGAAAGGGCAAAAGTTACTTCTGCCCCAGACCAGGCAGGAGATGTGGATGTAGGGAAGGCTTCTCCTCCCTGGCTCTCCTACTGCAGGAGGGGCAATTAAGAGCCCCCTCTGGAGGTAGCATAGGTTGGGTAGCCTAGGCTAGTCAGAGCTAGTGCTGGCCTGGGCTCTCCTCCTCTCTTGAGAGGGATGGGGGAAGAGGCAGTGGCTTTTGGGGCTTTTATATCCCCATCATCAGTAGCACTGTGGTACAGTGGAGAATGTCAGTTGTAAAATAGCTCGGGTCAGCGGTTATACACAGGACTAAAACTCCCCACCAGGCTCCAGCTTACTCACCCTGAGGTCTGGTAGCCACTGGTTGGCTAGCCAGAGAGCCGTAGCATGGGTCAGCATGCCCTGCAGATGTTTGGGTGCTTCCCTGTTGAAGTGGTGATGGTCCCCCGGTGAGGGAGGCTGTGGTGAGCAGCACTGTTTCCAGAGCATCTGGGTGCTCAGGTTGCTCTCTAAGCTGGCAGCCCCAAAAGGGGACTTCTATCAAAGGTTAACAGAAATAAGGTGAGACAAGATTTGAGAATACTTTCAGCACCCTGCTGGTCACTGACCTGGTGTACCCAATTTGGTGAACCCAGGTTGCCCTGTTGTAACCTATCCATGAGCCTGGGGGTGGCTGGGGGAGCTCAGCAGCTTCACCAGCTAACCACTGTCTTCATTGCTGTATGCAGGCTCAAGAGCTGGGGGCTGGTTTCATTGTGCAGCCAGGTACTGCTGTGGAAAACCCACCTACGGCACCTTCATGCTGTGCTCAGCTGGAGCCAGGCAGATACATAATATTCCTGTTCATAATATCAGGATATATTCAACAGCTTTTTTGCCACCAGTGGTATTAACTCCAGTTTTAGGCACTGGGGCTTGAGCCACTGTGTCTATGTTTAATGCTGCATTGCCTAAATCTCCTTCCACCTCCCCAGGAGCCAGCATTTCTCTGCAGCAAGGTCAGCACAAGGGGGGACCTCTGCTCCACAGAATGGAGATGGGCTTTCCCTGTAGCGGCAATAATAAGAAGGACAGTAGGAGCTCTTCTCAGAGATGAGTCTGTGAGGGCGCCTGTTGGGATAGAGCTCTCATGGAAGGAGCAGGGCCATAATAAAGCACCACAGGAAGCCGTGCAAAGCAGCCACATTCTTCATTGTTTCTGTTCTCCAGCTTGTAATCGAGATGTTCTTTTAAAATCATGTGCTTTTTAGCCCCTGTGTATCAATGAATTTAATACATGTATTGACTTCTGTGCAGTTACTCTTGATTTACACTGCCAGAAGTGAAAGGAAAAGCCGGCATCATGTCCAGTCATATTAATCCACTTACTTACACCATACAGGAGTCACCTTTTAACCTCACCCTGAAGCACATGCCCCTAAGCCATTATTCACGTGTGCTCACAGCAAAGTGCCAGATGCTAATGGCTGTGTACTAGCCAGGTGGGATTTGTGGATACATTCATATATCGCTCATAATGGTATTTTATATGTATGCACCGGGCTGTATGCAGCACCGGTCTCTGCAATGATCCTTGCTGACTGTGCATTACCTGCCCTGCACCTGAGCCCCCACACTCTGCCTGCCCTGCCAATGCCTCTCGCGCTGGTTGCCCAGTGGCTCTGCACATGGGGCAAGGGTCCGTCTCCAGCTGTTTCCTAGTGTCAGTGGTTTCACTGCTGTGTCTTGGCACACCTGGGAACATACCTCACGGCTCTTTCTCAGCTGTGAGGGGACTTTCTGTCTCATGAGAGCAATTTGTGAGGAGCAGCTGTGGGATGACTCCTAGGGTGTCATCTGGGAAGTGCCCATCTTCAGGTCTGCACTATAGCAAATCCTGAGATGTTACCTGTTCCCGCAACATCTGAGTTCAAAGCACCTCTGGACCCCTACACCAGAATTTTCCATGAGAGTGGCAGTGTAGTTTGAACTAAAATGATGGCAAAGTCTGGGTGACCTCTGCATAAAATGCTGTCAAATGTGCCAGGGGTTATATGGATGGGAAGTTAACAGAAATCCTGTCAAATGCCTCCATCCATGCCCTCTGTTTTCAGCTTTCACAAGTCCTCCCATGCTGAGTTAATAGAGGTGTGGATGTGAGCATGGGAAATGGACATTTCTGGAACATCTACATACTGTTGACATGCACTTGTGCAATATTAGACTTATTTTTCAGAGGAAAGAAAGTGCTATAAAGCTTCTTGCCAACCTGTTGGTAGGCATAGATATTGAAGTAGATTCTCTTATGCAGGAAGCATCAAGCTCAATAGGCATCTTCTTTTCCCTTTCAGTCAATCCTTTCCTTGCTCTTTCTGTCCTGAACCTTGGGTTTTGGTTATTTTGTACTGTTAGACAATTGCTGTGCTCCATGCAGAGCATGGCTGCACGTACCTGCAGCAAACCTTTCTTTATGCAAGGACTCCTGTGGCCACCCTGTGTTCTTGCTTTCACTGGTGGGAAGACAGATAGGTCTGTGAATAAGGTCCCCAGCCTTGCTTGTCTCATCATGGCCAAGTCAAACTTGTATGCAGAGATACCATATGGCGTCCCCTACCACTGTCCACAGCACCTTTCGTCATGGCAGTGTCTGAAGGCAGTGCCCCATATGTAGCAGAAGCACAGCAGGAGGTAGAGGTACCCTATGCTACATCAGTGCCTCTGTATATAGGAAGGTGGACTCTTCCTATCTACAAGCACTTGAAAAACTGGTACGAGAAGTGCTATAGCAATACACTATAAGACTGTGACCAGTAGGCAAGGCACTAGGATGGGAGCTGGATTTTGCCAGAGGTTTTCCCATTGACTGTAAGGGCAAGACATCCTTCCCTATCTGAGTGTCTGTCCAAGGAGGGCAATAATTTTTGCCACCATGTGCAAAGCCCTTCTACAACAGCTAGGAAAAAAGAGTAACATCATAGAAAACCACATATTATTACAATCAATATTTTCTGTTCCAAGCACCAAATAAACAGCAGCTCAGAAATTTCAAGCCCTAAGAGGGCAAGAAAAATGTTGTCTTTCCGCTTTCTAGTAGCGTGGCTTGTTTAATCTTGTCTTGTTGCATGCTATGAGGAACA